GAATCTTCTGGGTAATTTTGGGGAATTTGTGGGATGTTGGGGATTTTGGGGAACGCGGGGAATCTTTTGGGTAATTTTGGGGAATTTGGGGGATTTTGGGGGTTCTGGGGAATGTGAGGGGCGCGGTCAGCCCTGCGCACAGCCAGCAGGAGGGAACGGAGCGTTGTCCTGGGGCAGCTGTGTCCCCGTGTCCCCGCCGAGCAGCAGCCCAGGAGCCGTGTCCGGAAGGTTCCTGCGCCGCCGGCGGGCACACGGGCACGGAGCTCCCGGGAAAAACACCCCTCTGTCTTGGGGCTCCCACGCCCCACTGCCTGCCGTGCTCCTTCCGGAGCAGAACAAAACAGGCCAGAGCCCAACCCTGCTGCCAGAGCAGGAGCAGGGCAGGGGAACGCTCACGGCGTGTCCAGACGCTGGCACGAGATCATGAAATTATATAGTAATAGTAATAATAGTAATAGTAATAATAATAATAATAATAATAGTAATAATAATAATAATAATAATAATAATAATAATAATAATAATAATAATAATAATAATAATAATAAATAATAATAATAAAAACAATAAAAAAATAATATATTATGATATATTATATATATCTATATTATATAATATATTATATTATATTTCATATATATTATATTTTATAAATATAATATATATTTATATATTAATTATATTACGATTAATTAATTATAATTCATTGTAATTAATAACTTACATGTTATATAATATTATATATAATATTATATATAATATATAATAATAATATATATAATCTAATAATATCTGATAATATCTAATGAAATTATTTCCTATAATAATAAATATATTATATTTTATATATAATGTTTCTGTAATTTATTATAATTAATAATTTATATATGTTATGCTATATTGTGTTATATTATATTATATATTATATTATATTATATATTATTGTATATAATATATATAATAATATATAATCTAATAATATCTGATAACATCTAATGAAATTATTTCCTATAATAATAAATATATTATATTTTATACATAATGTTTCTGTAATTTATTATAATTAATAATTTATATGTTACATTATATTGTGTTATATTATATTATACCATATTATATTATATTATATTATGTTATGTTATGTTATGTTATTGTATATAATATATCTAATAATGTATAATCTAATAATATCTGATAACATCTAATGAAGTTATTTCCTATAATAATAAATATATTATATTTTATATATAATATTTATATAATTTATTATAATTAATAATTATTATATTATATTATATCATATTATATTATATTATATTATATTATGTTATGTTATGTTATATTATATTACATTATATTATATTATATTGTATTGTATTATATTAATATATTATATATATAATATATACTATATATAATAATAATATATATAATCTAAAAACATCTGATAATATCTAATGAGATGATTTCCTATAATAATAAATATATTATATTTTATATATATTTCTATAATTTATTATAATTAATAATATATATTACATTACATTACATTACATTACATTATATTATTATATATATTTAATATATATAATAATAATACATATAATCTAATAATATCTGATGATATCTAACGAAATGATTTCCTTAAATAACGGAATTACTGATATTCAGCTTTGGCGCTGGGATCACTCCTGGGAAGACACAGCTAACAATTAATAACAAGTAATAGAAATTATTACAAAATTAGCAGGGGTGAGCACACTGGTCAAAGCCTGACGAGTTAAGTTTCCTGGGATGTTTGAGGGTGGGTTTTTTTTTTCTGGTTTGCACACTTTTAATCTTTTTTAAGATTTAATCTTTTTTAAGATTTAATCTTTTTTAAGATTTAATCTTTTTAAATCTTTGCAGACTTTTAACAAGGCGCGAGAATCGCAGGATCACACCGATTTCCAAAGGGAGGAGAATAAAGCAAGTTTTGCAATAAAGCACTGGCCAGCTGCACAACCTCAGATTCTTTTTGCCATGTCCAATTTCTCCCCAGCTTCAGGCCAAGCAGGAATTTCAGACTCCTGTATCCAGAACCAGTGACAGAATTTCTATTCTCTGCTCCTTAAATCGCAATTAGCATTCCCAATCCAATTAATTAGCACATCCTACAGGTGCAGGGAATTTTGGGCGCATTTTTTCATTTCTCAGCCCTGAGAATTTGGTTTTCCCGTGGGGTTTCCCAGGGAGGGAGCAGCGAGAGCAGGCTCGGCTGGAGGTCAGCACCTGCTCTGACGCGCTACTGAGCCGGATTTTGGGGGGGAAAAGGGGTTTTTTGGGGGGGCCAAAAGCAGGATTTCTGCGGGTGTGTCAGAAACACGGGGCTACTCACCTGAACTCTGCAGCGTCAGCCCCGAGAGATCTGCACAGGGAACACAGAGGGGAGCAGGATGAACTCGGGGAGCTGACAACACGTTGAAAGGTTTACCAGCCTTCAGGAACCATCCCTCATCGCCCCTGCCAAATCCAGACAAGCCCACCCCCTAAAGCACGCCGGGCACTGGTCTGGGATGCAGAGCGCGTGCCCTTCCTCCTGGGAATCACTTATGAGATCCAGAAAAACGTGGAATTTCACAGAACGTGAAATCCATCAGCGGGTTTGCATGCTGATACGTGAGGACAAACGTTAGAGGCAGACGAAAAAAGCTAGAAGTGCGAGTGTGTAAATTAGAAAGCTTTTTTTTTTAAATCACTGGGTGAAAAAGTAGTTTAGAGAACAGGAGACAAAATAGAGGATTTAAAGTGTTGTCCCTTGTCCCTTCTTCTTTCTTCTTCATGTTCTTTTCCTAGAGGTTTTTGGGTGATAGTGAGTGATCAGACAGAAAATGCCACAGTGCAGCACAGAGGAGATAAGTCATTAGATCTTCAAGAAAAAATAATATAAAAAATAATATATATAAAAAATAATATATAAAAAATAATATATAAAAAATAATATAAAAATCTATTAAAATAATATTAAAATAGTACATTAAAAATATAAATATAAAAATAATATATAAAAATAATATATAAAAATAATATATAAATAATATATATAAATAATATAAAAATATATAAAATAATATAAAAATCAATATATAAAAATAATATATAAATAATATATATAAATTATATAAGAATAATATATAAATAATATATATAAATAATATAAAATATATAAAAATAATATTAAAATTAATATATAAAAATAATATAGAAATAATATATAAAAAATAATCTAGAAAAATAGTATAAAAATAATATATAAAAATAATATTAAAAATAATGTATAAAAATATATAAAAATAATATTAAAAATAATATAGAAAAATAATAGAAAAATAATATATAAAAATAATATAAAATAATATATAAAAATAATATTAAAAATAATATATAAAAATAATAGAAAAATAACATATAAAAATAATATAAAAATAATATAGAAAAATAATATTAAAAATAATATATAAAAACAATATATAAAAATAATATTAAAAATAATATATAAAAATAATATAAAAAATTGGGTAAAAATAAGTATAAAGATAAGTATAAAAATAATTATAAAAATAAGTATAAAGATAAAAGAACTGCGTGTTTCGAGGCCATTCTGTGCATCAGACACCAAGTGTGCCGCTTTTTTTCGGAAGAAAAAAAAAAACCGTACCAAATTGCAAAGGTTAACTTTGTGCAACCAGCCTGGAAGAGTTCAGAAAAATCCAAGAGTAAAAAAAAAAAAAAAAAAAA